TGCACCCAGGGTCCGTGGTGTCCCGGCGCCGGAGTGAAGGACATCTGGGAAGATCGCGTCCTGGGTGCACAGGGCCTTGCAGAGAAACACACGGAGTAGAGGTGGTGGGAGAGTTAGTAGCGCGCTGTGTACTTACCCCGATTTTGTGAGCGTCAGCCCGGGATGTTTCCAGCATGGCTCTCCGCTCTCGCAGCTGGGCCTGCTTCTCCACCAGGTCGCGGATCTGCTTCTCCACGGCCTCCACGTGTCCTCGCCTGCACTCAAAGGTAGACACACATCCGCCATTAAAGCAAGTAACAGTGAGTAAAACAATGGTAATGTGTGTGAATAGAGTATTAGCAGTGTAAGCGAGATTAGCGGCAACCACGCTGGCGATGCTAACGGGCTATAAGTTAATAGCGGACTCGGGAAATCAAAATAAAACTAGTGATAAGGCGCTCTGATTGTCTTTGTTGCAGAATACGATAGGGGATATATTCACACGTTATAGAAATGAAAATGATGGTGTATAAAATAGATTTTAAGATATAAAATAGATGATGAAGAATTAACTTGACGGAGCTAAAACTCAAAACACGCTGCACACTGGTGGTGGTTGAGGAGATTCCCCCCTTCTATGTAAGCACTTTGAGTGCCTAGAAAAGCGCTATATAAATGTAAGGAATTATTATTATTATTAAAACACATAGCAAAGTTATGGTGTGAAATTAATAAAACAATTTTTTTTTAAATCATCAACTGAATGAATAAATGTAAATGTATGTTTGTGATGAGATCTTTTCATAGGAGGTCAATCATTGTGGATTGTTCCAGTAACTTTGCAGTAGCTGCTCAGATGTAGATGCTCACAGGAGTCACACGAGTACTCAGCTGTTAGCAGGGAGAAAACCATCAAGAGGATCAATGTAGTTTTCATAGTGGACTGAGAGTTAGTTGTAAATGCAATCATTTGGCTGCGTTTTGTGTGCATTATAACCTTTACGTCTTTTCTCACACACTTCATCATTTTTTATTGTTTGTTTTCTTTAGTTTGCTTCCTGCAGTTCACTTGTGATTCTGCTCTTCTCATGAAACTTCAGCTCTTCTCTGAAATGTTTCTGATGAAGTTTCATTTTCATGTAAGGACGGATATGTATGTTGTAGGTCTGGTTGTGTCAGATGTTGAACTCCACATGATTTTTACTGTATTCCTGAATAAATCGTATTTTCAGAGCTGCAGTTAAACCATAGGACTGATAAAGCCGGTTCAGTGTCAAACCGGCTGCATTTGTGGTTGTGGTGGAGGCCAGTATGTCATACTCGTAATACCTGTTATAATAATCCACCAGAACTAGGACTGAGTGTTTTGATGGCAAAGGTCCCAGTAAATCTACTGCTAGATCTTGCCATGGTCCTTTGGGCAATGGTAAATGTCGCAGTGGCTCTGGAGCATCAGGACGAGAGACAATTTGACAGCCATGACATGATTTACAGTGTCTCTCAGCAGATCTATCCATGCCAGGCCACCATACTTTGGTCCTGAGATGCTGCTTAGTTCCAACTATACCTAGATGTCCCTTACGGGCAAGTGCTAGTGTTCCACGTACGACCAGATAGCCTATCACACACAGTTCATTAGCTATGGCTGCATATGGCATACACTTTCCAAAGTGTCCACTTTCAATGGCTTTTCTCACTTCTATCAGTTCTGGATTTTTTCTAAAGCCTCTTCCATCTCCCCTCCGATTTATGTGAGTGCTTCTCTCACACAAGGGATCAGCGATATTTTCTCTTTCTGAAACATAGACAATCTTAAAGTTATATGGTTGGAGACGTAAAACCCACCGCTCTATGCGGGCACAGGGCTTAGAACGTGGACTGTATATTGACTCTTACGGTTTATGGTCCGTGAGCAGGTCAAATTGTCTCCCATAGATATATATAGGTGAAGCCTCTCACAGGCCTATACAAGAACAAGGGCCTCCCTCTCAGTCTGGGAGTACCGACTCTCACAGTCTGATAGACTTCTACTGATGTAGCACACTGGCACTATTTGTCCCTTTTGACACTGCGTTAGTACAGCCCCAACCCTACAGGGCTGGCATCGGCTATAACCTGGGTTGGTGCATCTTTGTCAAAATATGCCAAGGTCCCTGCTGTTGCAAGTTCTTCTTTCGGAGTATTAAATGCACATTTCTATTCAGGCCCAAAGACAAATTCTGTGTCCTTTCTGGTAAGAAGTCTCAAGGGCTCTGCCAAGGTTGCAAATTGTGGAATAAATCTGCTGCACAGTAAATTCCCGAGTGTTAAATTAACACTGCTCGGAGCATATATGGTCCCACTCTAAAAGAGTGTTAAAGTAACACTGAAGCAGTGTTACACATGTGTGATGGCAAGGAACTTATGATAAGATCATGTCATGTGTCTTAGTTTCTGATTGTATTTCATCTAAAACTGTAGTGCTTTTATGATTTCTATGTTGTTGCAGTTATATATGATAGCAATGTGAGAATTCAGCATAAAGAATCAGCATGTGAATGTCAGCAATGGTGACTAAATATTCTGATAATTTTTATGTGATTTTTGAATGAGACAAAACACGGCAGTAAAAAGTCACAAAAAAAAGCAAATAGTAAATATAAAAGAAAATACTAAGACAATGCAGCTGCATAATTTATTCATGTCACAATGCATGCTGGGAGCCATGGATGAGTTATGATTGGTGCACCCAGAATGCACTGCAACATGAATCTGTCTGATGATCGTCACCATTGTTGAGATTCATATGCTGATTCTTGATGTCTGCGTATTTAAACAGTACAGATGTTTTATACTGGTGTGCAAAGTGTTTTTAAAGCTCTTCATATTATTTCATTAAAATGCAGTTGTGATAAATAACAAACTCTATTACGCATTACCACTGACGACATCAGTGAACCTGGCTACGACATGACAACTACGTCATTATCAAAAAAACAGCCAATATAATCTAAGCACATTTTTTCTTGGTGTTTTTTTACCATAACCAATGTACTTCATAAACACAGTTACAGCAACCAGAGAAAAACTAATGTTAATAAGTCAAGGGTCAAGAGCCCAACTAAAGCAAACACTTATCTCCACAA